TGATAAACAATGCCCCTATGCACCACATTTTATTTTAAAATTTTGAAAAGTGACTTGTTCATAACATGTTTAAGATATAAGCTTGCATAAAGTTTGTTCCATATACATACACTTATGCTTGTGAGAAAATATTCTAATAGGACAATCATGTTGACTAAGTTGTTGTGAGGTCTGATATAATTCTGACTTAGAAATCCTACCATTTCTATTAAAAGTACTTGGAGAATTTATTTTGATAAAAATGTTATAAAACCATAGTATCATATACTCCTCATTTGGTGAGCAATTCCTACCAAAGCCAAATATAACATCTAGCAAGTTTCAAACCTTCCACATAAGCTGCTTGCTATTGTATTGAGTTTGGTCAAGTCTTGTTGACCCTTCTTGAGAGATTTATCATGCTCCCAAGATCAAGATCACGTACACCCACATATATATGCTGCTCCTACACTGTGAGTGCGCAAAAACATGCTCCCATTTAGATCCACCAAAAGCTCTGCTCCTACACCAGGAGTAGACAAAAAAAATGTTTGTTAGGTAAATACTCCGTATTCTAAAAGATAGTGATCTCTCTCTAAATATGTGGTTTAGAAGAAGAGACATAGGCTATGCAAAAAGTAATGAAAAAATATGGACACTTGAAGGTCTAAGTACAAAAGAAAAAAATAATGAGCACATAAAGGCTTATGTATTGAAAAGAAAGAAGAAGGATAGCCATGTTTCAAAAACAATAAGTTATAGAGAGAGGTCATATCTATAAAAGGAGTATAGTTTTAGTTTACTATTTTCCACATACATGCACGTCTTGATCTAAGAGTATGACACTTCTCTCATTTGATCCTCGAATTGACTTTACAATATATGCAATACAAATATGCTATATTGTTTATCCCTACCTAAAGCTCCACATAAACCTTTTTAGAAGTAGGAGAAGGCAAAATATTGCTATGCCTCGATAAGGATTTATACACAATTGAGTGATTTGAGAGTGCCATTTGAGGAGTATAAAGTGAACTATGCTTTTTCTTGAGAAAAAACCTCCAAAACTCCAAGTTGCTAAGATGTGAAATTGAGAGGATGACTTTGTTTTGAGAACTATTTCGCTTCTCAACAACCCAAGGAAACATGTTAGCTAACGTCACAAATCCCACTTGTGTAAGGAATGTGTTGGAATAACTCTTACATAAGCCATATATCTTAGGATGTTATGCTTATGACTACTTTTATCTCTAAGCTTTTCTCGAGGACGAGCAAATGGCTAAGTGTGGGAGAGCTTGTTGGCGGTCCTAAACTCTAATTTCTACCCACCAACTTTCATATAAAAACTGCTAAAATAAACACCAAACTTAGAATTAGGACTTATAACTAATCAATTCCACGAGTTTTGGTGATTATTCATTTACAGGAGGACATGTCGGGATTGCACAAAAATGAGCCTAACATATACAAGAAATACAATATTATAGACGTCCGACACGAGCCCAAGGGGAGGCGGCCCACAACTAGGCAAAACAGGACCTAGAAGATAGGAGAATATGGACAAACCCAAATGAAATCACCTCATCTTTGTATAATACCTACAAAGTCTCACTCTAGAAGCCCAAAGGAGGTCACCCAACGAAGATGGGCCAATTCGGCCCTAGGGGGGTAGCGACCCCCTAGTGGCCCTATTCGGCCCGAGCTTTGGTCAGTCGGTTCCCACTGCCTCTCCAACATCGGTTGTAGCAGGATTTCCTAAAAATGGCTACAACAAACCGACCTCCACCCCCCCAATGAATAGAGGAATGCAAAGAAGCACACTTTCACTCCATCTCCATCGTCCATCTTATGACGGTTTGATCCGAGGGCTGTGGTGAAGAGGCACATGGATCACTGACATGGCACATTGAGTGGCCTCCATTCCTCCTCTCAACCTATAAATACTCCCTCACTCCCTCTCATTCAAAACAACAACACCTCAAGGAGCAAGAGCACCGCACAAGAGCATCATTCCAAGGGCTTAGGCTCTAGATAGCTAGTAGAGTTAGTAGGGAGAGATGTGAGGGAGAGTACGGGGAAGCACCGGGCTTGTCGGTGTCTCCCCGAACTTGTACCTTGACGAACACATGTACCTCAACGGAGCTTTTCGCTAAGTGAGTGTTTGTATTTTTTATGGAATTAAGTCTTTGACTAGTTAAGCTTTATTCTTGTTTGCGGGATCATCGTTCGTTCTTGTGGCAGATACTCTAGTATTGGGCCTTGATAAAGATGGATAACCCTACGCACGCTAGAGTAGTAATCAATAGCATAGACGTGGTGTCTAGGCTGGAGGTTACCTTCGTTTGCCTTATACTCCATGGTTGAGGGGTAGGTAGTAGGTGGTGACAGCCCTATCCATACCTTGTACTCCCCCACGTCCAGGTAAAACATAGAGCTACAGTCGAAGGTGCCTGACAGACCAGGTATAAGCCGATGCCCGAAGTAAGTAAGTAATAGTAGAGTTTGTCTATCCTTAGACCCTAAGCCATAAGAATCATTCTCTACCCTCATCAGCTATCCATGTGTTGTCCTTGGATGAATTAGCTAGAAGAAGTACCTCCGTTCCAAATGGAAAATAAGATACCCTGATTACTTCCGGGTAAAAGCTACAACGGTAATTCCGTGCGCTTGTGGATTCTTTTTGTTTGCGTTAAGAAATACCAACAGCGGCCACCCACGCGATTCATGGGCGACAGAACGGTGAACACAATGAGGTTCAGATTCCCTAGCATATTTGATTCCCTCCCATATTTCATCCTCATCTAAAATAGGCACTTGAGTTATTAATTGTTTTTTATGGCAAAAATATATATATAAACGACACAGTAACAAGGATCACAGACACGAGCGGGGAAGGCAATAGTCAAGGTCCGTGACATCCACGGCCACCCACGCGAGTCGCGGGCGACGGAGCAGGGAAGATGGCGCGGACCATTCGATTCCCTACACTTTGCGATCTCACACTAACACCGAATCACCGTATGAAATGGCGATGGGAGCTGCAATAATGACAATTTGCGAACACAACAAACCAATTTGCTAATAAACGAAGGCAAATACTTCCACGCTAGCACCATCTCAATGAGGTGCTTTATCTCATGTCTATGTAGCCAAGGCAAATACTATGACACTTCAAAAAAAATGGAGTAACAAACATCACAGCCATTCAGTTATTAATTATTTTAAGGCAAAAACTATATATAAATGACACAGTAATAATCATCACAGCAATTTCATTGATAACTTCAATTACATTCCATAGTTGTACAATAACAAAGACCTATCGAGTATAGGAACATCCCATAGTCGAGTCTGGAGACAGGCAGTGCAAGCTAAGGACGAGGCAGCACCTCGCAAAACTTCCACCAGCATCTCAGTAAGGTGATTTACCTTCCTTGCTACTGCACCTCTCATAGTCGCGAGCGTGAGGGAGAGAGGCATTTACCCCTCATGGTCGAGAGAGAGGCAAGAAGAGGAGGCGTGGAAGAGAAGCGCCGCCATCGTCGCTGTTGCTCTAGAGGAAGGAGGATCACTAGGGCACCGGGACGGTGAATCGGCAGTACAAGAAATGCGTAGGGCAAACCAAGTGTATTGAGTACCCCTTGGCTTGCCCAAATAAGCGACCCCCCTTAATCGCAAAACTTCCACTAGCACCTAGATCGAGTAGCCCCCCTGCGCCTAGATGCCGGTAGTACCTAATCTTGAAGGCCTTCTCCCTACGCCGCTGTTGTCGCCGAAGGAGTTGGATAAGGAGTGCCATGGCGATGAAGAAAATATAGATGGTTGGCTCAAGAGCTTTGTCTTTATCTATCTGTATCTAAGGAGGAAGAAGTATGTGGATTGCTAAGAAGCGCATCTAGCCTTGGCTTAAATAGGCCAACCTTAAAGATGAAGAAGTGGAGAAGAGCAGTTAATACGCATCAGGGAAGCCGAGGCATACTCCGTAGAAAAGTAATGGTGATGCAACTATGTTACGGGTAGTTAGGAAATGGAAAATAACTCACGTTGAATTTACTACCGCCAGTACACCAAACGGTCGTGTAGGGCCGGCGGCTATAACGCCTATCCCAGTCAGCTCGGCTTTTCATACGACGGAGGAAATACCACTGCTGCATCTATTGTTAACCCGTGGATGGTAGAAGTTTCAACTGCCGGTTTTATTCCTTAGGAGGCCCCCTTATCGGTCCAACCAGCGGTGAAAGTATAACATCACCGCTTCTATCGCTATGGTAGTGAAAGTGGGGATAGTGATAAATCAATCTGTAGTAGTGGGGTCAAGTCAATCACGGATCAGTACATATGGATAAAGGAAGACCACGAATGTTTGATTATTTTGTTTGTATACGTGACAGCAGATCAGGAGCGGTATGCACTGGAGCTTCTTGCGTACTTTATCCACTTAATTTTTTTTTTCATCCGAGTCACCTAATAAAATTTCGAATTTTAAAAATATATATCCTTCATGGCCCAAATAATGAATTGATAATATACCCAAAATAAATCCAATCAATAATATGATTCACATGTATGACCTGTATATATGTTCTTATTTGGAGGTACAGTATGTGTTTGGTAAAACAAGAAAACAACAACAACAAGAGCCAATATTCTTCATGTGCAAAAAGGCGACCAGATGACAGACCCTCTGAAACAGGGGCAAAAAATACTACCTCGAACTGTCCAACCAAGCATTACAATTCACTTAGCTAGCACTACTGCACTAGTATTATTACTCGACCATCGCCACAAGCGAGCAAGTGCCACTCGAAGGCACCAGCTTAAAATTATTAAATTGGCGAATTGATCCGTGAAAAAAACAGCCAATTTCTTTTTTATTTGAGTTGAATTAACTAAAAAGTAGCTTCACGAGTTGTTTGTTGTTGTCATCATTTCATGACGACGGACGAGTGGCACGCGGTCTCGCAGCTCCAGTATGCAGCCACGCAGGCACAACCAAACATGCAGCATGCATGCCGGCGGCATTAAGCGAGGCTGCCACCGGCGGTGGCACGCTTGACGAAGCGGCCCTTCATCCGTGGCCGCTTCTCGGCGTTGAGCTTGCGCACCTCGTACCGGATCTTCTTGGAGAAGAGCCGCGTCCTCCGCTTCTCCCGGTACCGCGACACTCGGGCCTCCCGGCCGCCGTCCATCCCCATCCTCACCGTGCCCAGCAGGTCCTCGCCGCCGTGGCCGACCACTCCTCCCACAACCCACATGTTCTGTATGCACAACAAGAATCGAATTCGACGTTAACAATCAGTCAATCACTCCTAGTGAACCTGTGCATGTTCTCGATGATGTGAGTAGTGTTTACGACGAACGTGCTGTGCGGCGCGCGAATTGAACGTACTGTGTAGTCGTGGGGCCAGCTGTCGTCGAGCTTGACGTGTGGTCGCTCGCCGCCGCCGGTCCACGGCGAGCTCCCCCAGCTCTGGATGATGGCCTCGTAGTTGAGGGTGAGCGAGAGGCTCGTCTGCAAGAACTGGGCGTCGGCGGCCCCCGTGTCGCTGCTCGCGGCCTTCTCGTCCGTCGTCGTGTCCAGAGGCGAGCCGTAGTTGAAGTCGATGTCCAGCATCATCTCGTCAGATGCCTCTGGGTCCAGCAGCTCGAGGGCGCAGGCCAGCGTGCCACTGGCTTCGCAGGCACCACTGCCGCCGTCGGTCTCCAACTTGACTCGCGTGGCGTCGTTGCCCACTTCCACTGGGTCCAGGATGCCCAGCGTCTCCATGTAGAACGACGAGCCCTCCTCGTTGCCGTCGTCCAGGCCGTGCCCGAGGAGGGCTTCCATGTCCGCGGCGAACTCCCTGAGCTCGGCGTCGGTGGGCTCGAAGTTGGCATGGCCGCCGTCGGGGAAGAACTGGACCGCCGGCGCCGCTGCAGGTGTCGCTGGAGCCGGCTTTGCGGGGTCCTCGACGGCGCCGTCTTCGTTGCAGGACGACGCGAGAGCGGCCGCGTCCTCAAGAGGCGAGGGCGAGCAGAACTCGGCTAGGGCAGGGTCAAAGATGGGCACGCGGTACAGCAGCTGCTCCTCCTCGACGACCTCCAACTCCCCCTCGCCGTTCCGCCCGTCGTCAGGCGAGTCCCCGCCTGCCGCCGCATGCGGCACGACGAGGCGCCGCGACAACGCCTGCCCGCCGACGCTCTTGGCGTGCCCGCCGCGCGGGGTGCGCGCCTTGCGCCTGAACCACGCGGGCACCACCTCGTCGTGACGCTCGCGCTTATTATTCGCCCCCGCCCCCGTGCGAGGCGGCGTCTGCAGCGCAGACGCCGGCTGCAGGCGCAGCCGCTCGTGCCGCCGCGCGAGCGGGTTCGCCGAGTGCACCGACGTGTCGCACCCTTCGCACAGGAACGCGTCGTCCGCCGCGCAGTACCACCTCGCTCGCCGGCGAAGGCACCCGTCACAGGCCCGCGCCGCCTTGCCGCCCACAGCCGCCGCCTTCGCCGAGCTGCCCGTCGTGGCAATCATTTCTCTTCTAAGCGCTGCACTGTGCAACGATCTTGCTACTCACTTAGTGAGTGATGGCTTCTACACATGTGCGGACTCTGAAGTTTGTATGTACTGTAGATTTTAGAAAAAAAATTGGTGCCGAAAATATCGCAGGGTTAGGTTTTGTAGAACCGGAGGAGAAGATGGGCCCAGCTTGTGCGCTTTTTGGATCCCGCCGTCTGCACTTTGCACTTTTGGTGTCGCGGTAGGGCACACCACCAGCATGTCTTATCTGCGACGTGATTGGTCGAAGGGTAGCGCAGCATCCGGCGCGGGCGCTTGTGATTGGCTCTGACCGGATTTCCAGTGGGGCCACCATGCTTAGCTACGCAATGCAACGCCTAGAGCCCTTTTCCCCATCGCTCTCACGGTTGCTATGCTGTGGGTTCCTGCTGGCAGTGGGACCGCGCGGTTAAGGAGAGGAAAGTCTTTCTTGGACTCATTTTCCCCGCGCAAGTTATCACAACCTCGTCTTTGCCCACAGATTAAGGGTCTATTTTATGCACATGACTAGCTACTGGTTAGAGCATCTCTAGGAGACTTTCTATATCATTTCTAAATATTAGGAATAAAGATTTTGATAAAGAACTATCCTACAATCGCTTCTCTAAATGGTCATTTAAATATAGCTATCTTCTATTCCGGATTTTTCGCTAGCTAAAAATAGAAGACAAGAATGATTCTCTAGAGTGCGCACGAGATATAGAAAAACTGTTGGAGAGTGAAAAGATATAAAAATAGAAAGCGATTTCCATTCAAATGACTTTCCAAATGATGATTTAGAAAAGCTCTAGGAGATGCTCTTAGGTAGGACTAAAAATTAGTCTAAATTGGATGTGGTTAGCTAGCTAATTGGCTAACAACTAGTTAAAGATTTAGCTAAAAAATAAGTTCACCTATTAGCTCTCCTAGTTGGATGTACTAGAGCTAATTTTAGCTAATTTTTAGCTAGCTAGTAATTAGCGCTTGTATCTAAATTGGACCCTGAGTATACTAATCCTACTATTATATGCTTCAAAAGACCTTTTCTTTTAGTATTCTTTACTTCAAAAAAGTATCCTTTATTTACAATCTTTCATTTACTCACGTGAGTTAATTCAATTGCATGATCCCAATCCAATATCACCATAATTTCCCCATTTCCCCTCTTTGAACTTTTCTGGTAAAATCATCTTCCAAATGGTAAATGGTTCCTGATTAGTTTGGTCTAAAGGATGACAAGTCCAAACGAGCTAAAGCGGCCTAATTAAATTTAGTGGAAGATTTGGATTTTGCATACAGAATAAATGTTCAGAGTGAGTACAGCTGACAACATTGGATCTTGAATTGTATATTGTTGTACGTTTTATGCATTCCATGCCCTCACCACCGGAGAGGTGAGTAAACTGCATACCCCATATACCATACAAAGCTTGATCGCCGCGTCCTAACTCCTACCTAAGGTATGGTCCCCCAAGGAAGATCTTTGTGCTCTCTTAGCTGGCATGCCCGAAATTTGGAAAGCCTACTAAAACTGGCACACCCCAAAAACATGAAAAATATATTTGGCCCTTGTGGGGGTCCGCAACGGAGAGATTTGAATTGTTTTCGAAATGTTGATGCTGTGGAACATAGTGGTTGATGACCCTTGGAACGTAGCAGCGTGGTCAGCATGGGCTTACAAAAACACTCGGGCTCACATAGATGCCGACTTTTTTTTTTCTTTTAGATTCACACAGAGATGCCGACTTGATATGACAGAATTATACAGGTCTTATCCAGTGAAGATAATGCCATGTAAATCGTAGAAAATTTAAAAGGAAATAGAAAACAATGCCATGTGCGATGCACGGCTTTTCTTTCTGCAATCTGCACTCGGTTGTCATACAAGATTAAGGTCCCGTTTAGTAGGGCTTCTTGACTAGTTTCAGGAGCCGTTTAAAGCCGTTCTTTGCCAAACCCGGTACAATGAAATGGCTTCACGCAGGGAGCCCCCTCAAAACGTGCTAAGACAAAGGATAGATGATGGGTGGAGCCAAACATAGTGGCTTTACCCGGCTTCACCTTGCCTATGTAGAACCTAACGAGGATGAAAGCCCGGATTGCCCCCAGTCGAGGCTGCTAGGGCACGCCTATGTGGGCGCTCGGCTACCAAGGCGCGGGCACGGGCGCCGGAGTGCTCAGCCTCCTAGGGAGAGGGGCATGGTTATCGGTGGAGGGGCCCGGACTCTGGGGATGTGTGCGCGGCCACCGACGGAGAGGGGCGCGGCCTACCAGGGAGAGGGGCGCGTCCGCCAAGGCGCACGATCGCTGGTGAACTATGACAACTGGAGCAGGCAGGTCATGGGATGGGAGGCGGTCCTTGCTTTCCTCGCGTTCGTCTGCCAAACGGGGAAGAAGAGAGGGATAGAAAAAAGAAGGAGCATTTTGGTCTTTTTTGTGGGCGCACCGGCTTGTGGAAACCTATATTGTCTAATACGTTCAAATATGGCATACTAGCTAATGCAGCATTAGGCTTGCTTTTAAACACTGTGCAAGTCTGCATATAAGAGTCTATGTAGGCAACTAAATGCAACCAAACTACAGTACTCAAGCTTGGATACAGGCTAATACAAGCAACCATTCAGACCCATAATGACTGTAATTTTTGGCGGTGTTGTTGTTGCAGCGTGAGGATATGAGTGAAATGATTTGTTAGGAGAGCAAAGCATTGGAGATCTTTACTCTAGACATATTCACTAGCAATAGATGGAGAAGCAATAATAAAATTTGCTTATGATTTTTTTCTTCAGTTTATTCCCTCCTTTTCCCTATGGTTCATGATTAGGAATTGTTGTTCATGATTAGGAATTAAGCTAAATCCCCAACTTGAAACATAAGAATTTTATAAGAATATAAGAACCATGTAGGGCCTGTTTGGCACAGCTTTGACTCGAGATCTGACGGTGGTTTCTTTGGTGGAGTCGGAGGAGCTCTACCAAACACTTCAAGGAGGAGCCATTTTTTAGGCCAGGAGCCGGAGCCACAAAAAGTAGCTCCTCCTCAAGTGCTTCGGCTCCTCCCAAGGAGCACTTGAGAAGGATCCCTACCAAACATACCCGTAGTAACTTCATATATAGGAATCAATTTATTTTCATAGAAAAATAGAAAACAGAAAAAACATTTGCAATATATCCAAATAAAGAGGGCCTAAAACTTGGTTGTATACGATAGCAGAGTTTGGAACTATCCCATTTTTTATAAAATAAATAAATAATAATTGGACAGAAATTCATTACTCACTATATGATTGATGAACACTTGGAGGTACTTCGCCAAGGCGCACGTAGGTTTGTTCGTTCACAAATACCATTTAGGGTATCCGGCTCAACCATGTGTGCCGGAGTGGGTTAGCGTGGAATTTAATTTAAATTCCACACCAAACCATTCCAGCACGCATGAAGTGAGGTGGATACATTGGTATTCAAACAAGGTCTTATCAGTTCCCTAATACTTGTCCATAGCACACGATGTGCACAAATAAACCAAAACAGGAGTGCAGAAACCATGTTAAATATATCCGCCTCTGCTCTATCAGAGCATTTAATCGGTTACAATAAGTGGAAATAGTACAATAATTATGCTCTTGATATTCTCAATTGCAAGTATTGACGTTTTAGTCCCAAGGCCATGGACAAGTATTGCAAAAAAAAGGGAGTAGTATAGAAATAACGGAATAGCTTAAACGTTACAGAAGCATGAGCTACATATTGTCACATTTAAACACTACCAGAAAATGAAATATCCTTGGGGGGGGGGGCAGCAATTTCCTTAAGGGGCGAAATTGAACCCCCAAGGGTACATTATTACCTTTGGAGCCGTATGAAACCTCCAAGGAAATGCATATTCTTGAGTGTTAACACAAACCACCAAGGTAATTCCATATTTCCTTAAGTGCTAGTCCAAACCGCCAAGATAATCATATATCCTTGAGTGTTATTAGAAACTGCCAAGGTAATTCAGATTTCCTTGGGTATAATTGGAAACCGCCAAGGAAGTGCTAGTTTCCTTGAGTGCAAACCCTCAAGTAAATTGTTGTAGCCGTCAAGGATTTTTTTTTAGTTTATAGCCATTCCTCTTAACCACTGATATAATGGACTCATTGCATTCTTGTTAGTTAGACATTGCAGTTTATACACAAAAATGCTCCATTGACATGTCTGTGAAATGAAATACATTTTTTTCTTGGTACATTAATGCAACAAAAGTTACAATTTTGTGTTGTTATACATTAGAGAATGCATATTTGCACTTAGCTTGAGATGTCAAGTTAGTTTTAAATACAATATGCGACATACTAATATCGTATGAAGACAAAGTTTATATCAAAGTTGTAGAGCCCAAAGAGACATACAACTTTGTAGTTGATGACTTTTTCATTTGAAATTATTTAAAGTCCACAAACTATGTTTTAAGTTCTCAAAGTTTTGGAATTCAATTTTTTTTGAATTTATCAAATGACCTAAGATGGTGATACAACCAAACCCAAAGTTGTACTACTCGATGAGATATAAAACTTTTTAAGTTCAAACTTTTTTATTTGAAGTTATTTGGGGTCTCTAATATTCATCACAAATGACTTCATGGTGTAGTGCTAAGTGAGTTTCATGAGAAACCTTAGGTCACGAGTTTGATTCCTAGCTACAACAAATGTGTGATTTTTTTGTATATATCCTTGGGGATCATCCGCATATATACCTTGGATGTCATCGGCACTCAAGAAATATATATCGTTGAGGGGTGTTATATTTTCTTTAGTGTCATTAGCACTCAAGAAAACATATAACCTTGAGGGGTGTTACATTTCTTTGACGCTGTCCAAAATCTGACCTCGTCTTTGTTTCCTTGGCGGCCAAACCCCCAAGAAAATCAGGGTTGACACTCAAGAATCATTTCCTTGGCGGCTTTTAAGTTTCCTTGAGGGTTTTGGGCCCTCGAGGATATTTCGTTTTGTGGTACTG